ATCTGAAGATGAGGCGAGGAAAGGATGAAGGTGAAGAGGGAGTGATGAGGGCAATCAGAAGATGATACTGCTCGGATTGCTAGAAAACACGGCGTTTCGTAATTGCATTTCCTGATGATTTGTTTTGGGGCAAAATGTTGGGTTCATGTGCTAAAACAAGCTTGCATTTTGTTCTTGGAGCCCCCCTGTGGAGCCCCCTGCTGTGCCAATGCATTTGTCTCATTGAAGTGAATGAGGCACTGTTTCTTTTGTGCTAATTAAGCTACCTTCAAGCTTCTGAAGTGCTTGTTGTGCAATGACTACCTTGCAGTAAAGACTGTTGGAAAGTGTGTTTTACTACAGCAATATTTAAACGATTAGCGGTGCTCACGGCTACATTTCTAATTGGGTTTTGATTGTTCAGAAAGCTTAGAGATGTGGAAAGAAATCACATTTTTAGCTTAAACCCAACCCTGAGATTAGGGAGAGCTCTCTGTGTCCTTTTTTATAAGATCTTAGCATTGATTTCATAACTGATTGGTTGCAATAAAGACTTTTTGAAAGTGTGTTATGACAGCAATATTTAAACGATTTGTCTCCAAATTAAGAAAATCAAGCACAGTTTTTCACTATTTTATGACAATTTGAAGGCTAAAAAATGTATCGAACATTTAAAAAAGAATATTGATAATCACTCAATACCAGATTTAGTTCTTACTATATCACAACAATGGTCACTCATGAGTCTTCCTCACAGTTTTCACTATTTTAAATCATATTTAAGGCCAAAAGATGAATCTAAAATGGAAGAAATGATTATTTGTGGCCCTTAGGTGTCCATGTTTATAAGATCTAAGCATTGATTTCATAACCCTGTGCTCTCCCATGGCTCAGCGTCCTCTCTGCACATTGCCTCCTCCTCTTCCTCTCGTTGTCCCTGACAGAGATTGAACACCTCCACCTTGCGTGTCTCGGCCCTCAGACTAAACACACTCCTCTGGTGTTGACGGTGTAGCGGCGGCCTCTAACGATACCCGACTTATCTCATTAGAAAAATAATGATTTCACTGCTTCCCACAGATAGCCTCAGTATTTGTCTTGAGCTCTTCAGCGAGCTGCCTGTCGTATATCACCGTGGAGATTTATGGCTGTTTATCTCCAGCCAATACCCCCAACACCCCTCCAACAGATGGGCTGGAGCTATTTACTCAGGGAGAGAAAAGATCCCAAACCGAATAAATACAACAAACAAAAGGTAATCACGCGGGAGGTCGTTGTGATTACAATGTATTGGTCATGGGGGGAAATGGAGATTGATCGGAGGTTTCCGTTCGTATCTTAATGACTTTTTTCCGCCGTGTGGTCAGATGCAGACGTATAAAACACGTTTTTATCGAGAGTCCCCTGATATGACTTATGGTTATTAACAGTGAAAGCAAAGGGATGTCGCCTTAAAGCTCCGTGAGTATATCCGGGCTCTAAATCTCCCAACTGTCAGATCTTCACAGGAAGAAAAAGCTCATTGCATCATAAATTGTCTGCTCGGGGCTTAAGGGGTGATTTCTGAGTCTCTGGAGAAAGGCTTTTTAGGTATTAACCCTACATTATCCTCGTTTTTCAAACCAGTCGCTCCATATTGTTGCACATTTCTCACTACCTGTGCGCTTTGTTTTTCTACATTTGATGGATACAAACCAGACTTTGACCCTTGCACCTGTCGCTCGTAAATTATGACTCCTGGTTTATGTTACTCATAATCTGAAGTTAAACACTTTGAAAATGATTTTTGGACGTTGGCACGCAGGTGATGGTGCATTCCTCGGAGACACATCGAGACGCCATGCGGAGGGATTCATATTTTCTCTGGATTAAAGCCTGATGGATGTTTTTCCTGCACATTAATCTGAACACACACCGTTACTCACACGGAGACGTCTCTGTCTGAGGGTTTCGTTCTGCAGTATTTGATCAAATATCTAAATGAATGTTGATAGACGTTTAAATCAATCAATTATTAGTGTATAAGATATCAAATGTGACTTACTTCACACAGAAAACCAATTCAAAATACCAAGTAGGAAACCCTTTTATTCATTGTTATATTATTTAAACAATATATATATTAAACTGATTTATTAAGGTAAAAATGTGGACATGTTCCACTTTTTGACTACATTTTTATTGGCAAATAATCAATCGATAATGGAGATTTGTTTTAGTTGCCGCCCTGATTTGAACACAATACTAGATTTAGTCATTTTTATATTACAATAGGGATTATTCATGAGTGAGAAGTAGGAAAAAACATTTATTTTGTCCAAATTAAGCTCAATTTTCACTATTTTATGACATTTTTAAGGCAAAAAGATTATTCCAAAATGGGAAAAAGTGTTAGTTGCAGCCCTGAGTATCACTCAATACCAGATTTAGTTCCTACTATATCACAAGAATGATCACTAATGGATGTTTCTCACACTTTTTAACTATTTAATCACATTTTTTTAAGGTCAAAAGCTGAATCTAAAATGGAAGAAATGATTAGTTTTGGCCCTTATTATCACACGAACATAGACCAGACACTAAATCGCTCATGATGGTTTAACAGTGACAGGGTGAACATCTGGAGCTAATCTCCACACAGAGGATGACCAGTGTGTGCAGCCTTAACACAATTAGATTTAGTTATTTTTATATAACAATAGTGGTCATTCATGAATGAGTGAGACGTTGGAAAAAACATTTATTTTGTCCAAATTAAGAAAATAAGGCTCAGTTTTTCACTATTTAGTGACATTTGGCAAAAAGTGAATCTGAAATGGAAACTGATTAGTTTTGGCCCTGATTATCACTCAATACCAGATGCAGACCGGACACTAAATGCAAATGGGCGCTCGTGATGGTTTAACAGTGACAGGGTGAACATCTGGAGCTAATCTCCAATATGTGCAGCCTGGAGAGGATCAGCTCCGTGTTGCCCCTCTTCTCTTGAAGGAGCCCTCGAGTGTTTCTGCTCGTGACATGAATTGTTGAATTGTGTTTCTGGTGGCGATGGTTCTCCTCACCGCACGACTCGATCAACACTCTGCAGCGACAGCGTTACAATCACACAGCGTCAGGAAGATCTCAGAGAAACACCTCGGCCTCATCGTGTGTGTGTGTGTGTGTGTGTGTGTGTGTGTGTGTGTGTGTGTGTGTGTGTGTGTGTGTGTGTGTGTGTGTGTGTGTGTGTGTGTGTGTGTGTGTGTGTGTGTGTGTGTGTGTGTGTGTGTGTGTGTGTGTGTGTGTGTGTGTGTGTGTGTGTGTGTGTGTGTGTGTGTGTGTGTGTGTGTGTGTGTGTGTGTGTGTGTGTGTGTGTGTGTGTGTGTGTGTGTGTGTGTGTGTGTGTGTGTGTGTGTGTGTGTGTGTGTTATTATGATAGCAGGAAGGAAATGACATCATGGCGATTCTGAAGGAGAGCTGGCACAAAGCTAGAGTGAATAGTTGAGGCTTAAAAGTGACATTTCTGCACAGAAAGCTTCACTTCTTGTCCACAAATTCAGTATAATACTAAATAAATGCGCATTGCGTTATCAAATAACATTGCTGAATGTGACTAACTGTTGCTTCTTAGGCAAACGGACAACATTTGAACTGTTTTTGGGGCATTTTTAACAACTGCCAAACAACTATTGTGCAGGAAAGATAACTTTTAGAAATGTTGTTTGCTGTTATTCACTTTATAATAACATTGCCATCATATGTTGACTTCAATGTTCATGCAGAACAGGTTTTACTTACTGATAACGTGTATATTATATTACCTTATTAAATGAGGATTGAGAGATAGGTGTTTTTAAATGACATGGCTCGTTGGGATTATGAACTAAAAGTGGCACAAATAGTACATTTAAAGCGATTTCCTGGATAGTGTGAGGCTAAAAAGGGACATTTCTGCACCGAAAGTTTCACTTCTTATCCACAAATCTAGTATAATATATAATATATATAATATAATAGTAAATAAATGTGCATTACGTTATCAACTAACATTGCTGAATGTGACTAACTGTTGCATCTTTGGCATTTTTAACAATTGCTGAAGAACTATTGTGCAGAAAAGATCAATTTTAGACATTTATTTGCTGTTATTAGCTTTATAATAACATTGCCATCATATGTTGACTTCAATGTTCATGCAGAACAGGTTTTACTTTCTGATAACGTGTATTATTTTTAGTTAAATAAAGGAAAATACGCTTTACGTTGCTTTTTAATGGATGTCTCTGAGTTTTTAAATGACATGGCTCGTTGGGATTAGGAACTAAATGTGGCACAAATGAGCAAGTTCAAATCTCCTTGATACTTTGAGGCTAAAAAGTGTGATTTCCGAAAGCTTCACATCTTATCCATAAATCGAGTATAATAGGAATGAAATGTGCATTAACTAACATACACACTGTACTCTCTGTTGTGCAGCTTGCACATATTTTTGTGGCATCTTAACTACATTATGTGCAAATAAGATATCGTTATACCGTAACCAGCTCCCTAATAACAATGACGGCATATTCTGACGTACATTTGATATGTAAAACAGGTTTTTACTACATGTCATGTTATATGTTGGTAAGTATACATGCGAACATGCTCTACGTTGCCTTTAGATGATGGTCAGTCAGTCAGTACTTCAGTAATCCTCCTCTACGTGAAGTCGGAGAAACCTAGTACAACTCATTACACCATTAACACTTCCCTTGTTTATTTTCACTCACTCAGCGGGTTACCCAGATGATTCTGCGTGTTGTGTTACCTTTATGATTTATGGACCTGCTGCTATTTGTTTAGCTGTGATATTCACAGATGTCACTCACAGACTGAGGGCAGGAAAATGCAAGAGAAACATAAAGTGGAAATGTTAACCCAATAACGAAAGATAAACAGTCCGCGCCGAGGAGCCAAAGACAACACGGGGCGGAGGGAAAGTGTCCTGCTGGCATCAGGTTTCCCAGAGTAAGTGTTATTTGAAAAGCAGCTGAAGGGTGACACTCACTCTCCTCCCTCCACCATCTGTTGTTCCCTCTCTTCTCAGGCGGCTCTAAGTGCCTTGAAACAGCTGTCGGAGCAGGGGTTGGACCCGGTGGACGGAGCCATCAAGGTACGGTAGGAGCACCGTGTCAAACACACACACTGAAAAACCACAACAAATGACATGTTGGATTTAAGCAGCTAGATTTAAAACACTATGCTTGAATCTCAAAGCTGTCCAATTAGAGTTAGGATTCCTGTGCAAAATGAAATCAAACCAATTAAGAAGGATGTTTTTAATTAATCAAATCGTGCTGCTGCCACGAGGAATCATGGGACGTCCTTTTCTCCCTTCCTTTCCAGTGTTCCCTATGCTTAAGGAGCTAGGAAAGGAAGCATGGAAGCTCCTTTCCTTAGCATTTAGACACTTAAAACCTTCCCTCAGTGAGGAACACTTCTAACGGAAAACACGTCCATCAGTCAATCACTGAGGACAGATGTGTGTGTGCCAATCTGGCATTTTGCAAATCCTCAGCGCTGCAGACTGCCCCATCATCACCCACCTATACACACACACACACACACACACACACACACACACACACACACACACACACACACACACGTCCAACATTTCCGCTCGACATTTCCCCTCCCAGTAGGCGTTCATATTTACATGCTCTGCTCTCCCCTCGGTGTCAGTTCTTTGCATGATGGCTATCAGAGAGAGGGCTTTCTCCATGACACACACACACACACACACACACACACACACACACACACACACACACACACACACACACACACACACACACACACACACACACACACTCTCTCACATGGGGAAGGAAGGAGGAAAGGCTGCGGTTTCTTTTGGAAACTGAGGAGGAAATCGCTGTCAAACATTTCTGGAGTATTGGAGTGTCCTGGGAAAAACGTGTAGGCAGTATTTCCTTCAGTGTTCTCTTATGAGAGACAAATGTTATAATAACTTCATTTAAGTCACTATCATATGGCAGCAATTACACTTTAACCTGAGCTGTTAACTTCTCCAGACCGTCTCTTCATTGCACTATGCTGTCAACACCTTTTTAATCAATTAATACATATGGAAGATTGTATAAATAGACATATAATATAGTAAGTAAAAAAACAAAGTACAATTGATTTATAGAATAAAATAACCCATCTCTTTAAATGACTTTTAAAAGAGTCAACAGTATCATCAGCATAACAGAGTGATTATCACATCATGGCTGCACTTCTCAGACACATTCTGCTGTCATTTGTTTATTTATTATACTTATTATTGATGTTATTATTGGTGTGTGTGTGTGTGTGTGTTTCAGAGCAGTGAGGTGTGTGTGCGGGAGGACGGACATTAAACAGACTAACTCAGGCACCACCACTCAGGTCTGCACGGATTCACAGGCTGTCGTCTAGGAGGTGAAACCCCCTCAAACCCACCCTCAACACCCCATGACCCACAATCCCCCTCTTCCCCCACGATCGCCACTGTATCCTGCAAAAACCTTTCAACATGCAATAGGGTGGATGTGCACCGAGAAAAGACGACGACTAAAACACATTATTACTGAGTCTATGTGAAGACAACGCTATGTTAACACGTTTATCGATGATTTCTAAATTCAAAAGATGAAACTCACGAGAGAGATGCATGGTACTGTATGAAATCCAAAGGGAGACCCTGCAGAGACCCTTTGGATTACTGTATTGTGGTGTGGTTAAACACAAATATGTACGTCATGCCATTGAAACACAGGAACATATGAGAGGAGAAACCAACTCGCGTACAGTAGCTTATTTTCCGGGGGTATTATGTTTCCGTTTTTTTTAATTCTTTTTATTAATCTAACAATGCTTGAGTACTGTATTTAAAATTAACCAATGCCAGTGCTGTGAAAGTTGTAGTTGTTGTCTTCATATATAGTCACCCAGCTTACCTTGTACGCTGACATTAAGATAAAAAAACCAGTTCATCCATCGATATGGATGAGTTTGACCTGCAAGAGAATCATATCCCCACGAATAACACAGAGCAGGTTTTCATGTGGACAAAAAGGACAAAACTGGTGTTAGCAGTAATCAGTAGAAGTGTTGGACGACCCTTTGCCTCCTGAAGGGTCTACATTCCCGTTAACAGCCCCCAAAGCCCTGCATATTATCACTGGAGAGGAGACTAAACACACGCTCCATCCAGTGATTTTGTGTCGGAAACCCCCTCCCACTGTTTTGTCGATCACATCTACACCCATTGTGTGTGCTGTATTGACCCGCCGAGGCATCAACTGGGTGCTTTTAAAGCCTGCATTAGTCTGGAGTGTGTCTTCTGAGCGGACTGAAGGCCACTCTGTCACTTTGTTCACTGACTTTGAGGACGTGTCTTCTTCTTCGCTGTGAGTACAACGTGTAATACGGCTGTCTGTTACTGAAATGCAGTAAAAACACCTCAGTTCATGTGGAAAAAAAACGATGTGTCTGTGTCTTCTTACTTTCTCCTCCTGCAGGTGTAGAGCTAATTCAACACATGTTCTGAAACCAAAATAACATTCCATTTGGTGCCAACCATCTGTTGAAAACTTGTGATAAAACCGTGATGGACTACATGTACCATGATGCATTGCAATCCAGATACTGGCGCCAACACAGAAAATGGTAAAGCCAATTGCTCCTTCACTTTGGCAGGTAATGAAATAATAAGATGGAAGCACTTGAGTGGAAACCAGCGTGAACAAGCTTTATTATTATTTTCCACACCTTTCAAAATAAAAGCCCAATTTAAATCCACGAAGAAGCAACTCCAAACAAACGGCTTAGAAAATGTGTTTCTTTGTGTCTGAAGAAACAGGCCATTAGCACCGTTTGCTAAGTGCATAGCTTGAACTAAAGTAACATTTAACTAAGTGAAAGTGATGCCTGCCCCCCCGACTATCTTTTGAAAACTTGTGATAAACTGTTGGAGCCTACATGTACCAGAATGCATTGCACTCCAGACAGACAAATTGCGTAAAATGTAGTTGTTGCATTGAATTACAAAATATGTTACTGAACTTAAAAATTCTGTAAAATTAAAACTAAATAAAAGCCCAATTTAAATTCGCTCGGCAAGAAGCAACAACATTTAGAATATATTTTCTGGTTCTTTCAACCACATCGAAAGGCCTTTAGCACTCGATTAAGCTTTTCATAAAGTTCGGGACGTTCATTAGGTGATGCATTCAAAGGCTCTGGGAAAAGGGGAACTTGAGTTCAGATCGTTTTGTTAAATAATCCCAATGTTTTCATCCAGAATCAGTCAAGTTTCTGCACCTGACTCAAAGCCTGCAGCACTGAGAGTTTTAAGAGAAATCTCAGACGTGACTAACATGTACTGCACTGTTAAATGTGTGCTACTGCATTCATTAGAACATCATGACTAATAAAAGTTCATTAGCACATTAAAACACATTGGGAAGGTGTGCTCCAAAAAAGAACATGCACTAAAGATTTTTATAGTGTTGTTACTCCAGCTCTCTTTAAAACACGGTTTCATTCCTTGCTTTATCCAACGATGACGTGTAGTGTATGAAAACCTGAGCTCTCAGAAAGTATCCCACGTCTTAAAGGATTTACGATATTGTTTCCTCCGCCAGATCCTGTGAAGACTTAGAAACAATATATGAATCCCTCTTTTCTACCGGCTTCCTGCACAAAACCTCTAAGACATATTGTTAAAGGGATACTGTCATTTCTTAGTGTTTTTTTAGCAAATGACATTTCCTGCAGACGTTTTGAAACCGTGTATTGATGCATTTGACTATTTAGGTTTAGTAAATCACTACAGAACAGTTCCACAGCTTTAAAAGGATCGCTTGTACTGTAGTGCCGTGAAAAGAGAGTCGGAGGCGGTGTATTAAGAATGGAGTTCCAATCTTTATTATCCATTACTATCAGAGAGGTTAACACATGAACTGCTCTGCCTGATGAGCTAGCAGGAATGACGGCTAAAGCTACAGGTGTTCCCCACTAAAGGGTCCGTGTGGCAACACAATAAGCAAGGTGAATATGGTCCCACATGGTGTCACCACAGTACATCAGTTATACCCTATGGTTATACCTCGAAAACACAGAAAAGTCGAAGTGAAGAACTCGAGGCAGCACAACAAACCACATGTTTCCAGTTGTTGTAATCACCGTGAAAGCTTGCAAGAAAGTTGAGGATTTATCCAAGAGCTTAAGGTAACAAGAGGTGAGTACTTGGTATGAAATGGTCTTTTCTTTGGGGGGTGAAGTGTTCCTTAAATATGTTTCAACAACTCCAGACTTTCCAAGAACAAATACGTGGTGTTGTGTTGCTGTTCACAAGAGAGAGCTTTAGCAAATTGAGTAAATTGTGCATTTCCTGCAGACTATTTTAAACTGTAATTATGAATACTCATTCATTCTGAAACAGTTTCACAGCTTAGAGGAATACTTATCTCCTAAATTGCCTCCTTTTTGGATTCTTCCTCAAACGTGAACATGGCCCGAGTGATTCATATACAAATGGTCCTTGTTGGGATGAAGTAGTCCTTAAATATGCCTCCATGCAGCCCAAACACTGACTTTCTGCGGACAAAGATGCATTCTGTGTCGTCTTTCACTCGAGTTTCACAAATGATTAACTCTTGTAATATCATGACTTCCTTAAACTTAATCTACACTGGAAAAGAGGAAGAGCTAAGTGTGTGTTTTCCTCAGAGACTTCATCTTTAACTTTATGACTCAGCTGATTGTTTGCACCTTTATCTGCCACATGCTCGTGTTGCATCACCTGTACACACATCCTTTCCTCAAGTAGAAGTACAAATACTCGTGTTTAAAAATACTCTGGTAAAAGTAGAAGTACTGACTAAACTTCTTTACTCAAGTAAAAGACTGTAAAGAATAATGATCACGCCACCAAACTAAAGGAACCAGCTGTTTGGAAAATGAGAGAAGTAGAAAGTACAGGTATTTGAGTTCAACATGTAAGAAGTAGAAAGTACAGGTATTTGAGTTCAACATGTAAGAAGTAGAAAGTACAAGTATTTGAGTTCAACATGTGAGAAGTAGAAAGTACAGGTATTTGTGTTCAACATGTAAGAAGTAGAAAGTACAGGTATTTGAGTTCAACATGTAAGAAGTAGAAAGTACAGGTATTTGTGTTCAACATGTGAGAAGTAGAAAGTACAGGTATTTGAGTTCAACATGTAAGAAGTAGAAAGTACAGGTATTTGAGTTCAACATGTAAGAAGTAGAAAGTACAGGTATTTGTGTTCAACATGTAAGAAGTAGAAAGTACAGGTATTTGAGTTCAACATGTAAGAAGTAGAAAGTACAGGTATTTGAGTTCAACATGTAAGAAGTAGAAAGTACAGGTATTTGTGTTCAACATGTAAGAAATAGAAAGTACAGGTATTTGAGTTCAACATGTAAGAAGTAGAAAGTACAGGTATTTGAGTTCAACATGTAAGAAGTAGAAAGTACAGGTATTTGAGTTCAACATGTAAGAAGTAGAAAGTACAGGTGTTTGTGTTCAACATGTAAGAAGTAGAAAGTACAGGTATTTGTGTTCAACATGTAAGAAGTAGAAAGTACAGGTGTTTGTGTTCAACATGTAAGAAGTAGAAAGTACAGGTATTTGAGTTCAACATGTAAGAAGTAGAAAGTACAGGTATTTGAGTTCAACATGTAAGAAGTAGAAAGTACAGGTATTTGAGTTCAACATGTAAGAAGTAGAAAGTACAGGTATTTGTGTTCAACATGTAAGAAGTAGAAAGTACAGGTATTTGTGTTCAACATGTAAGAAGTAGAAAGTACAGGTATGTGTGTTCAACATGTAAGAAGTAGAAAGTACAGGTATTTGTGTTCAACATGTAAGAAGTAGAAAGTACAGGTATTTGAGTTCAACATGTAAAAAGTAGAAAGTACAGGTATGTGTGTTCAACATGTGAGAAGTAGAAAGTACAGGTATTTGTGTTCAACATGTAAGAAGTAGAAAGTACAGGTATTTGTGTTCAACATGTGAGAAGTAGAAAGTACAGGTATTTGTGTTCAACATGTAAGAAGTAGAAAGTACAGGTATTTGAGTTCAACATGTGAGAAGTAGAAAGTACAGGTATTTGTGTTCAACATGTAAGAAGTAGAAAGTACAGGTATTTGAGTTCAACATGTGAGAAGTAGAAAGTACAGGTATTTGAGTTCAACATGTAAAAAGTAGAAAGTACAGGTATGTGTGTTCAACATGTAAGAAGTAGAAAGTACAGGTATTTGAGTTCAACATGTGAGAAGTAGAAAGTACAGGTATTTGAGTTCAACATGTAAAAAGTAGAAAGTACAGGTATTTGTGTTCAACATGTAAGAAGTAGAAAGTACAGGTATTTGTGTTCAACATGTAAGAAGTAGAAAGTACAGGTATTTGTGTTCAACATGTAAGAAGTAGAAAGTACAGGTATTTGGGTTCAACATGTAAGAAGTAGAAAGTACAGGTATTTGTGTTCAACATGTAAGAAGTAGAAAGTACAGGTATTTGAGTTCAACATGTAAGAAGTAGAAAGTACAGGTATTTGTGTTCAACGTGTAAGAAGTAGAAAGTACAGGTATTTGAGTTCAACATGTAAGAAGTAGAAAGTACAGGTATTTGTGTTCAACATGTAAGAAGTAGAAAGTACAGGTATTTGTGTTCAACATGTGAGAAGTAGAAAGTACAGGTATTTGGGTTCAACATGTAAGAAGTAGAAAGTACAGGTATTTGTGTTCAACATGTAAGAAGTAGAAAGTACAGGTATTTGAGTTCAACATGTAAGAAGTAGAAAGTACAGGTATTTGGGTTCAACATGTAAGAAGTAGAAAGTACAGGTATTTGTGTTCAACATGTAAGAAGTAGAAAGTACAGGTATTTGAGTTCAACATGTAAGAAGTAGAAAGTACAGGTATTTGTGTTCAACATGTAAGAAGTAGAAAGTACAGGTATTTGTGTTCAACATGTAAGAAGTAGAAAGTACAGGTATTTGGGTTCAACATGTAAGAAGTAGAAAGTACAGGTATTTGTGTTCAACATGTAAGAAGTAGAAAGTACAGGTATTGTGTTCAACATGTAAGAAGTAGAAAGTACAGGTATTTGTGTTCAACATGTAAGAAGTAGAAAGTACAGGTATTTGTGTTCAACATGTAAGAAGTAGAAAGTACAGGTATTTGAGTTCAACATGTAAGAAGTAGAAAGTACAGGTATTTGGGTTCAACATGTAAGAAGTAGAAAGTACAGGTATTGTGTTCAACATGTAAGAAGTAGAAAGTACAGGTATTTGTGTTCAACATGTAAGAAGTAGAAAGTACAGGTATTTGTGTTCAACATGTAAGAAGTAGAAAGTACAGGTATTTGTGTTCAACATGTAAGAAGTAGAAAGTACAGGTATTTGGGTTCAACATGTAAGAAGTAGAAAGTACAGGTATTTGTGTTCAACATGTAAG